CATAACTGTAATGTTGCTACTGTTATCTGATATGCAGGATGGTCTTAGGCGACCCCTGTGAAAGGGTCATTCGACAGCCAAAGGGGTCACGACCCACAGGTTGAGAACCGCTGCACTCACACTTCTGAGGGCTACCAGGCAGACAGGTAACACAAGTGTTACCTGACTTGCTAACCCTTTAAAACTGCCTTAGCCACTTCAGGTGCAAATGCTGTGTTTAAACTGGCTAAATGAACACTTAAGGGAGAACTTAACACATTGCGCACCAGTAGTTTTATTGCTAGCTTTACCCAGTGGCCAGATAAGTTTCTATTGAACAAGTACAAAAAACATTTTACAAAGTTTCTTACTTTAAAAAGATATTAGCTTGTAAGAACGTGTAATAAAAAACTTCAGAATGCAATGGGTACTTAATTTTAAGGCGTGCCTTTAACATTTATGTAAAACACTGTGTAATATGAAAACACGAGAATGCTCGTGCTCTGCCCGCAAGGTGTTAAGATCCCAACACTGCATCTCACATTGCTTCCGTGAGAAATCTGTTCTCTCTGTTAAAACAGCCTACAAATGACCTGTTCTTGGGGCAGCAGCTATTTCCAAGGTGGTCACTTTTGAGCAAGGAGGAAGCCCAGATGCCTGGAGGGGTTTTCATTTTTAATTAAAAAGTGCATTCGAAGAGGCCTTGCATGATTTATCTGTCTCTCCAGTTCAGTTCACTCCTTTGATCGGAATTTTCCCCAACTCTGATCCAGGGAATCACCTCTCCCTTCCCTAAACTGCAGTGAGCTCTTAGCCAAGAAGGTTTCTTACCGTCCCCCTCACACTCCTTAGCTCTTTGCTTTCTAAAGTGCTCTGGTGCCCAGCCGGCATGGCTCAGTGGTTGAGTTTCAACCTATGAACCAGGCGGTCACGGTTTGATTCCTGGTCAGGGCACATACCAAACTGCAAGCTTGATTCCCCAGTGTGGGGCGTGCAGGAGGCAGCCCATCAACAATTCTCTCTCATCATTGATGTTTCTCTCCCTCTCCCTCTCCCTCTCCCTTCCTCTCTGAAATCAATTTTAAAAGTTTTAAAAAATAAAATTAAATGAAAGAAAGAAAGAAAGAAAGAAAGAAAGAAAGAAAGAAAGAAAGAAAGGAGAAAGGAAGGAAGGAAGGAAGGAAGGAAGGAAGGAAGGAAGGAAGGAAGGAAGGAAGGAAGAAAGAAAGAAAGAAAGAAAGAAAGAAAGAAAGAAAGAAAGAAAGAAAGAAAGAAAGAAAGAAAGAAAGAAAGAAAGTGTTCTGGTTACGGGGAACCTATAGTTTAGAATCATTGTCCCACAGCAATGGTGGCCACATGTGATTGTTCACTCTTCCTCCCTTGGTCACAGGAGCCAACTTCCTCTGAAAACAGTTGTGAGGCAGCCCCCCCGGCCCCATGGGCCCAGCCACTGAGAGCGCTCCCTCCTAGGAAGCGCCCCGGGACAGCGAGGGAGGGATCAGGGTGGGGACACCTGGTGCAGCCAGCAGATCGGCCAGAGCGAGCCTGGCCAGCAAGGGTCTGCCCACGGGCCCGGATCCCCACCTCGGACAACGACTTTGCCTTCATTTTTCTCTTTCAATTCTTCTTTTCTTATTTATTGTTTAGCAGTAAATAAATATGGAAAATTTCAAACATTCCAAAGTAGGAACATATAATGGACCCCCAAATACCAGCCACCCAGCTTCAACAATTATCTACTTACAGCCCGTTTTGTATATACTGCCATCCATTTTCCTTCCTCCTGATTATTTGGAAATAAAACCCAGGTATCATATCATTGTTTTTCTGTAAATATTTCAGTATTTCTAAATGATAAGGACTCTTTTAAAACAGCAACAACAAAATACTGTTATCAAATCTGAAGAGATTCAATGCAATCCCTATCAAAATTGTAATGATATTTTCCACAGAAATAGAAAAAAATCCTAAAATTAGTATGAAACCACAGAAGACTCTGAATGGCCACAGTAATCCTGAGGAAGAATAACAAGCTAGAGGCCTCACACGTCATGATTCAAACTATATTACAAAGCAATAGTAATAAAAATGGCATGGTACTGACATAAAAACAGACACAGACCAATAGAATAGAACCAAGAGCCCAGAAATAAACTCATGCATATGACATCAACTAATATTTGACAAGGAAGTCAAGACTACTCAATGGGGAAAGGATAGTCTCTTCAATAAATGGTGTTGGGGAAAATGAATAACTACATGCAGAAAAGTAAAAGTTAATGCCTATCTTACACCACTCACAAAATTTAATTCAAAATTGATTAAGGACTTAAATGTAACACCCCAAACCATAAAACTTTTACATTGTTATTTATTAATTTTAGAGAGAGAGAAACATCTACTTGTTTTTCCACTTACTTATGCATTCGTTGGTTAATTCTCATATGTGCCCTGACCCAGGATCAAACCTGCAACCTGGTGTATTGGGATCACACTCTATCTAACTGAGCTACCCGCCCAGGGCAAAACTTTTAGAAGAAAACATAGGAGAAAAGCTCCTTGACATTGGTCTTAACAATGATCTTTTGGACATAACACCAAAATCATAAGCAACAAAGGCAAAAATTAATAATGGGACTGTGCCAAAGTGAAAAGTTTCTACACACTAAAAGAAACTATCAACAAAATGAAAAGGCAACCTATGGAATGGGTAAAATCTTTGCAAACCATCTATCTGATAAGGGGTAAATATCCAAAATATTTAAAGACCTCATACAATTCAATAGCAAAAAACAAACAAACAATGCAAAATAATCGGAAGAACTGAACACACATTTTTTCCAAGGAAGACTTATATAAATGACCAACAGGTAAATGAAAAAAAAAATGCTCAACACTAATCATCAGAGAAATGCAAATGAAAACTGAAAGGGTTAAAGAGAATGAAACAGGGCAGAGGAAACTTACTGTGCTTAGTAGATATCTTAGTAGATACCGGGCATGGGAGGAGCCAAGGATGGACCAGACCTTTACGTCAGCAGAGCAACTTGCAGCCAGCAAGGATTAATAAAAAATCTGCCTTTCCCTTCAGTCTCTGCTGATTCCTTTTTCGGACTCAGCCCACCTGTACCCAGGTGCCTGAAATAAAAGCTTCTTTTGATACATACATTATGGCCCATGTCATAGGTGTGCGACCCCGGCCCACTCTGAACCTTTCAAAAACCACAATGATATATCCTCTCACACCTGTTAGAACGGCTATCATCAAAAAGACAAGAGATATGATTAGGAAAGGACATGGAGAAAAGGGAATCCTTGCACACTGTTGGTGAGAGTGTAAACTGTTAAAGCCACGATGGAAAACAGCACAGAGATGCCTAGAAAATTAAAAATAGATTTACCATATGATTGAGCAATTTTGCTTCCTGGTGTATACATAGAGAAAATAAAATCAGGATCCCCAAAGAGAATCTGCACCCCCACTATCATTGCAGCATTATTTACAATAGCCAAGATATGGAAGCAACCTAAGTGTCCATCGGTAGATGAATGGATAAAAAAATATGTTATATATGAATATTATTCAGCCATTAAAAAGAAGAAAAGCTTGCCATTTAGGAAAACGTGAATGGACCTTGCTAAGTGAAATAAGTCAGGGAAAGAGAAATTCCATCTGATCTCACTTGCATGTGGAATCCAAAAATCCACACTCACAGAAGCAGAGAGTTAGCAGGGACTGGCGCAGGGGGTGGGAGATGTTGGTTAAAGAGCACGAACTTCCATTTAGAAGGTGAATAAATTCTGGGGATCTATTGTGCAGCCTTGAGATTCCAGTTAATAATACTGTACTGTATACTTGCAAGTTGCTGAGAGAGTAGATCTGAAAGGTTCTCATCACAAAAAGGCATACGACATAATGGGGGTGTTAGCTAGCACCTCATGGGAATCACAGTGCAATCAATAATGAAGCATACCAAGTCAACACTGTGTACACCTTGACTTACACAATGTTCTATGTCTGTATCTCAATAAAGCTGGAAAAATATGAAAATAACAGTAACACCTCAATATTATCAACTATCCAGGCAG